ATTTGCAAAGACTTTGTTTCCATTTTTTTCTTTTTTCTTATTATTTTTTTCCTTTACCTTTCTACTGTCCCCCACTTCCCTTACATCTTTAGAACTTTTCTTCCTGTTACACAATATCAGTTATACATTTTGATCCTTATTTACACTTTTAGTTTATCATACCAGAGAAACTGTATGGTATTTACACATGTGTGTCCTGTTAATTTCACTTAACACTGTATCTCAACGTGCACCCACTTAGCCATAAATGTCTCCAGTTTCTCATTCTTTATGGCTGAGTAGTATTCCATTTTATTTTTTAAAAAACACATCATCTTTATTCTGTGTCCAGTTGTTGGGCAATTGGGCTGTTTCCAACTTTTAGCTATTACAAACTGTGCTGCTGTAAACATACATGAGTATATATTACTATGGTATGATTCTTTTAAGTCTTTTGGGAACATACCCAGCAGGGGAATAGCTAGGTCAAATGGAACTTAGTTGTTTAAGGTACTGATTTCCACAGTGTTTGCACTAGTCTGCACTCCCACCAATGAAGAAGGGTTCCTTTCTCCCCACAACCCTATTATCATTTGTTATTGGTTGATTTCTTGATAGCAGCCATTCTTTCTGGGGGGAGGTGGAATCTCAGCGCTGTTTTCATCTGCATCTCTTGAATGACCAGTGATACTGAACATTTTTCATATGTTTATTTGATGCTTTTACTTGTTTTTCTGAGAAATATCTGTTCATTTCAGATGCCCATTTTTGAAGTGGGTCTTTATATTTGGGAGTGTCTGATTGTTTTCACTTCTTTGTTCTAGATATTACACCTTTGTCTGAGGAATAGCTGGTAAAAAAATGTTCCTACATTGTAAGTTGTCTCCTAGCTCTATTGGTGGTTTCTCTTGCAGTGCAGCTTTTTAAAAAGAGAAGATCCAAATTGTTGATTCTTTGTGCTAGTTCCCATGCTACTAAGTATTTGTTTATAAAGTCTTTTCCTAGGCCAACATCTTCAAGAGTTCTACCTAACTTATCTTCTAGAAAGTTTAGTGTTTCTCTTTTCATGTTTATATCTTTTATCCACTTGGATTTTAGTTTAGTGCATGGTGAAAACTACGGGTCTGCATTTAATCTTTGGCAAGTTGAAATCCAGTTTTTCCAGCACCATTTATTAAAGTGGCTATCTTTCCTCCACTGAGGATGGTTGGCTCCTTTGTCAAAGATGAGGTAGCTGAGCATGTATGGAATTGTATCTGCATCTTCTAATCTATCCCACTGATCCTCAGTTCTGTTTCTTTGCCAATACCATGATGTTTTTAACACAGTGGCTTTGTAGTATAGTTTCAAGTTGGGGATTATGATACCCCCTGTCATGTCTCTATTGCCTAGAATGACTTTTGCTATTCTAGGTCTCTTCTGATTCCAAATGAATTTTTTGATTGTTTGCTCTAGTTCTGTGAAATATACTGTTGGGATTTCAATAGGGATATACATTGAATCTGTATATCAGTTTGGGAAGTATGACCATTTTCACTCTATTGGTTCTTCCTATAGGAACAAAGGAATGTCTTTCCATTGTCTTATATCCTCTTTGATCTCTTTTTTTCAGAGTGTTGTAGTTCTCAATGTAGAGGTCTTTTGCTTCCTTCGTTAGATTGATTCCCAGATATTTCATTTTTTGGATGCTATTGTGAAAGGAATTGTTTCCCTAATTTCCCTCTCAATGAGTCTGCTATTTGTGTACAGGAAGGCTATTGATTGTTGAGTGTTTACCTTGTATCCAGCTACTCTACTGAATCTGTCAATTAAGTCTAGAAGTCCTTTGGCAGAGTTTTTTGGTTTTCTGTGTAGTGTATCATATCATCAGCAAATAATGAAAGTTTAACTTCTTCCTTTTCTATCTTTATTGCTCTTATTTCTTTCTCTTGTCTAGTTGCTATAGCTAACGTTTCCAAAACTATATTGAACAGGAGTGGTGATAGTGGACATTCTTGTCTCATTGCTGATTTTAGCATGAAGGTTTTCAGTTTTTGACCATTTAATATGATGTTGTACTTTGGATTTTCATAGATAGACTTTAACAGGTTGAGATAAAGACCAGCTGTTTCAAGTTTCTGTATGGTTTTTTTTTTATCATGAATGGGTGTTGAATTTTGTCAAATGCTTTTTCTGCATGAATTGATATGATCATATGGTTTTGTCCTTAATTAATATAGTGTATTACATTTATTGATTTATGTACATTGAACCATCCTTTCATCCCTGGGATAAATCTGACTTGCTCAGGGCACTTTTTCTTTGTTTGGTTGGTTTTGTTTTTTGAGTCAGGCTCTCACTATGTAGATGAGTCTGACTTGGAACTCACTATGTAGCCCAGGCTGGTCTTGAACTCATAGCGATTCTCTTGCCTCAGCCTCCCAAGTGCTAGGATTACAGGTGTGTGCCACCATGCCCGGCTTTGTATGAACTTCTTGATGATCTCCTGTATTCTGTTTGCTAGTATCTCACTGAGGATTTTTGCATCTATGTTCATTACGGAGATTGGCCTGTACTTCTCTTATTTGGTTGGCTCTTTCCCTGGTTTTGAAATCAAAGTAATACTTGCTTCCAGTAATGAATTTGGAACTATTATTTCCCTTTCAATTTCATTGAAGAGTTTAAAGAGTAGTAGCAATAGTTCTTCTTTAAATGTCTTATAGAATTCAGCAGTAGAGCCATCAGGACCTGGGCTTTTCTTTGTTGGTAAATTTTTATTAAGTTTTCAATTTCACAGATTTCAATAGGGGTGTTTAGAACTTTTACATTTTCTTTGTTCAACTCTGGTAGTTCATGTGTATCTAAGAATCTGTCCATTTCATCTATGTTTTCCATTTTATTAAAGTACAGTTTCTCAAAGTAAGCATTGATGATCCTCTTGATTTTTGCTGGATCTGTCATGACATCACCTTATTCATTCCTAATTGCATGGATTTGAGCCTTTTCTTTCCTTTTTTTAATAAGCTTGGCTAAGGGGTTATTGATTTTATTTATTCTTTTGAAAAACCTCCTTCTTATTTTGTCTCAGCAATGAAAAATGTAACATAGCCCTCTTAGGGCAATGGAAGCAGGAATAACCATAGGGTACTTTTTAGAATTAAATGGAGGGAGAGCCTGCAATTTAGCTCAATGTTTCCACTGCCTGCCTCACAAGTGCAAGGATTCAAGTTCAATCCCGGTACAAAAAAAAAAAAAAAAAAAAAAAAAAAAAAAAAAAAAAATAAATGGAGGGAAAGGAGTGACTCCCTTAGCTGTACTAGTACTGTGAAGAAAGCAGAATTACAGAGCAAAGGGAGTGTCGCAGGTGAGCAGACAAAGGCCCTCCTAGTTAGGAGCCCAAGGGATTGGTGCATCTGCCAAACCAAGATCCCAAGAGTCAAGCAATCTCCCAAATGCAAAAGTTTATTGAGCATTTATCACATTCACATCAAGAGACAGGGGATCTCACCCACAGCATAAGCTGGAAGCTAGAGGCAGTGCTGCTAGTTCAGGATCTTTCTTCAGAACTCATAGTAATGTGGAGACACATCCATCAAGGGAGCCAAATGGGGCATTCTGAGCAGGCAGAGTGACTGTGGTGGACTTCATCCAAGTTGTAGGCTAGCTAAGGAAGTTGTACAAGAAAAGAGAATGAATGATTTTTTTAATGAATGACCAAAAAACTAAGCCAGTCACAAAATTAGGACTATAAGAAAGTGAGAATGTGAGAAAACAATTTATTGATTCATCTTGTTTATTCTGATTCAGTAGGTCTTGGACAGGGACTGGAAAATTGTGGTTCTAGCCAGTTTCCAAGAGTGCTGCCGTTTCTACTGCTGGAGAAGCACCACTTTTGACTGCGCCTTCTACACAACAGAATCAGCCAGGATTTCCTCTTTGGGGTTTTTTTGTTTTTTATTTTGATTTTATTTTTTGGCACTGGGGATTCAGGACCTTGCACTTTCAAGGCAGGTGCAGTGCCACTAAGCTGAATCACTGGCACTGGTTTTTTTTTTTTTTTGTTTTGTTTTTAACCAGAGACTGAACCCAGGACTTTGGCATTAAGCTGAATCTCCAGTTCTTTTTTTATTTTTTATGTTGAGACAGGGTCTCACTGGATTACTAAATTGCTCAGGCTAGGATCAAACTTACCATCCTCCTGCCTTAGTGTCCCAGAGTTCTAACATAACAGGTATGTACCACCATGCCCAGCTAGCTACCTAGGAGTATTTTTTTAAAGGACTAATACCAGCTTCACTCCTTCAACCACTTACAACCATCATGGGTGTGGAGCCCAGGTGATTCAAATGTTTAGCAAAGTTTGACAGTCCCTGCTTTAAGGATCCAAAATATTCATCCCTTGAGATGGAACCATGTACCTAATGGCAGAGTCTTCATCAATCTCATAAAAATAATTTAGGGGAAAATGGCTTTAACAAAATTAAAAATGCATACTATTTTCGTTATCTGGCTTCAGGCTATCTTTTACTACATCTAGTCTCTCTTTGTACTCTCTGAGAACCACAAGAATTAGCCAGCCAAGTTGATTATCCTACTATTTTGCCACTAAATCCCTTCAACATAGCAAAATGGCTGGTTTCAAAGCTGCGAATATGATTTCCTCTTTTCCAACCTACCTTGACTTAACCAGCTTAATATTTCAAAGTTTACTTAGACTATTCTTCTATGGGAACTAATTTAGGGGTTACTGACAATTCTGGTTTTATTAAAAACCCACTTTCACCAGGTTAAGCCTAATAAGAGAAATAATTATAAGGATAAAAGGGTATATCACCTACTCGGCAGTTACTGACTATTTCATAATCATAATTACAATTACCATGAAACATTAACTAGCACTGTAAAACTATTAAGTATCAAGCAGTTATCAGTCTTAAAAAATACTATATGTCTATATTATGTATACAAGATTATATACATAATTGAAGGTATAATTTCAATGATGTATAATGCCAAAATAATTGTTGTCTTGTGTTTTCAAGGACCAAAGTTGAAGCTCTGACATGCATGAACAAGTAACTCTACCTAAAATGATCAAAGACTGGACAAAAGAACATGTCAAAAAATGGGTAACGGAAGAGCTTAAGATTGATGAAAAATATGGACAAATTCTGCTCAATGAAGAAGTGACAGGATTAGTCCTACAGGAATTAACTAAGAAGGATCTTAAAGAAATGGGGCTGCCACGGGGCCCAGCACTTTTGATAAAACGTATGTATAACAAGTTGAATACTAGTTTACCTGAAAGTGACAATCCTGATTCCAAACAGTTAGTTAACACAAAATCCACTGAAAAGGAACATCAAAAAAAGCCAAAACAGACAAAGAAAGAGGAGAAAGAGTCGATGTCATCCAATACTGATGGCAATCTCACAGAGATTAGGGATACCAAAGACCAAGAATCTATTCTTAAGAAAGAAAATGCATTAAGTGAAGTATCAAATGCTATAGACAAGAAAAAGAATGAACCAAAAACTGAATACTTGACCTGCATGCCATATCCTTTTGATAACTTCCATGACAGCCAACGCTACATAGAACATTACATCCTACAACCTGAAACAGGACCACTCAATCTCATTGACCCAATACATGAGTTCAAAGCTTTGACAAATACAGAAAATGCCACAGAAGAAGACCTTAAGATGAAGTTTAGCAATGAAGCCTTCCGATTTGCATCAGCTTGTATGAATTCACGCACTAATGGTACCATTCATTTTGGAGTCAAAGACAAACCCCACGGAGAAATTGTTGGTGTGAAAGTCACTATTAAGGAGGCCTTCATTGATCACTTCAATCTAATGATCAAGAAGTATTTTAAAGAAAGTGAAATCAGTAAAGCCAAAAAGTGTATTCGGGAGCCAAGATTCGTGGAAGTCCTACTGCAGAACAGTACTCCTTCAGACAGGTTTGTCATTGAAGTGGATATCATTCCCAAATACTCTGTGTGCAAAGAAACATATTTCTACATTAAGATGTACAGTCTGATAGACAAAACATGGAAACAAAACCAAGGTCATTCACTGTTTGTGAGAGATGGAGCCAGTTCCAAGGATATATTGGCCAATGTCAATCAACGGGATATAGATTTTAAAACATTTTTGAAAAACCTAAAGTCATGTGTAGCATTTAGAAAAGAGGCTGAAGAAGAGCACCAAATGAAAGCAAAAAAGAGAGAAAGTGAGGGACTAAAGCTAGTTAAACTTCTCATTGGAAACAGAGACTCGCTGGATAATTCATACTACAATTCATACATTCTTGTAACAAATAAATGCCATCCAAATCAAATACAGCACTTGGATTTTCTAAAAGAAATTAAATGGTTTGCTGTGTTGGAGTTTGATCCTGAATCTAGGATCAATGGAGTGGCCAAAGCTTACCAAAAATGCCGAGTAGCAAACATGCACTTTCCAAATCAGTATGAAGAAAAGACAACCACCATGAGAGATAAGATTTCTACTCTGAATCTTTATGAGCAAACCAGCTGGATCTTCTGTAATGGTAGATCAGACCTGCAGGGTGAGACATATAAACCTCTAGAACCACATTTATGGCAGAGAGATAGAGCATCTGAGGTTAGAAACCTGATTTCATTTCTCACAAATAAAAACATAATGGCAAGAGGGAAATTCTTAGTGGTGTTCCTCTTACTCTCTTCAGTGGAAAGCACAGGAGACCCATTCATTGAAACTTTCTGTGCTTTCTATCAAGCTCTCAAAGGAGTGGAAAATATGTTGTGTATCTGCGTCAACTCAAAGATTTACCAGCGATGGAAAGATCTACTACAAGCAAGACTGACAATCGCAGATGAATTAGCAAACCATAGTATCTCCACTTTAGATATAGAACTGGTAAACAGTACTATCCTTAAACTAAAATCGGTGACTCAGTCATCAACAAAGTTTTTGCCCTCCTATGGATCTTCCTCAGTTATTCTAGAGAAAAAGGAAGAGGATATCTTTACCACACTGCAAATCCTCTCTGAAAATGAATGTAAGGACACTGATATAGAGAAAGATGAATCTAAATTCCTAGAATTTAGGCAATCAAAAGAGGAACACTTTTATAGAGGTGGCAAAGTATCCTGGTGGAACTTCTACTTTTCTTCTGAAAATTATTCTTCAGCTTTTGTGAAAAGAGACATGTACGGAGATCTTCAAGTTTCAATAAAACACTGTGCAAATTGTCCTAAACAGGCATTTGTAAAAGTCATCAATCTTTATCATCATCCAGGTTGTGGAGGCACTACCCTGGCTATGCATGTTCTCTGGGACCTAAAGCAAAACTACAGATGTGCTGTATTAAAAAACAAAGCAACTGATTTTGCAGAAGTTGGAGAACAAGTGAGCAACTTGATCACCTATAAGGCAACTAGCCATCAGGATTATATTCCTGTGCTTCTACTTGTGGATGATTTTGAAGAACAGGAAAATGTTGACATTCTACAGAATGCCATCAATTCCGTTTTCATAGAGAAGGATTGGCGATATGAAAAAACATTGGTAATTATCTTAAACTGCATGAGGTCCCAGAATCCAGATGAATGTATTAGAAAATTACCAAACAGCATTTCATTAAAATATGCTCTTTCTTCCAAAGAACAAAGAGCTTTTGAGGCCAAGTTAAAAGAAATTGAAAAGCAACACAAGAACTGTGAAAACTTTTATTCCTTCATGATCATGAAGAGCAATTTTGAGGAAGCATATATAGAAAATGTAGTAAGAAACATTCTAAAAGAACAGAATGTTAACAGCAAGGAAGCACAACTTATTTCTTTCCTGGCTTTACTGAATTCTTATGTTACTGATTCTACAATTTCATTGTCACAGTGTGAAATATTCTTGGGAATGATATACACTAGTACAAAGGACAAGCCTATAAGCCTAGAAGACATGATGGGAACGTATTATACACTTCTAATAAGCACAGAAGTTGCAGAATATGGGAGATACACAGGTGTGCGTATCATTCACCGTCTGATTGCCATTTACTGTCTAAAAGAACTGGAAAAGAGTTATTGTATGAATAAATGTCAAATTGCAGTGAACTTGTTAAATGAGAATGTGTTCTATGATTCTGGAATAGGAAGAGACAGATTTCAACATGATGTGCAGACTCTTCTGCTTACCCGACAGCGCAAGGAGTATGGAGCTGAAACAGACACTTTGTTTTCCCCATTAATTGAAACTTTGCAGAATAAAGAAATTGCAAAGGTCTTGACTACAGGAGCTAAACGATTCCCACAAAATGCGTTCATTTGTCAAGCTCTAGCAAGACATTTCTACATTAAAGAGAAGAACTTTAATGATGCTCTATACTGGGCAAATTTGGCCAAAAGCAGAGCACCGAAAAATTCCTATATCTCAGACACACTTGGTCAGGTTTACAAAAGTGAGATCAAGTGGTGGTTGGATGTAAATAAAAACTGTAGGAACATTACTATTAAGGACCTAACACATTTACTGGAGGCTGCTGAAAAAGCTTCAAGAGCTTTCAAAGAATCCCAACAGCAAACCGATAGTAAAGACTATGAATCTGAGGCTTGGTCACCACAGAAGCTGCAAAGAAGATATAACACGTACAATACAGCTGGTTTCCTGGGTGAAATAGAAGTCAGTCTTTATACGGTCCAGATTCTTCAGCTCACTCCCTTCTTCCACAGAGAAAACGAATTGTCTCAAAAATCTATGATACAGTTTTTGTCTGGAAAGGGACATATTCCTCCTGATCCAAAAAATGAGTATTATTTGGCTCTTAGCAAATTTACAGTCCATCTACAAAATTTGCAATCAGATTTGACAAAGTGCTTTAATTTTTTTAGTGACCATATGGTTCTCCTGAAAACAAGGTATATGCAAAAAGAAAAGGCAGAATTTGCACTAAGCACAAAAGTCAGTCGTTGTTACAAGAAATACATAGAACTTTTCTGCCATTTGGATTTGGCTCCATTGCAAGGCAAAGAGAGTCAGTTACTCCAAGAAGAGAATTGCAGGAAACGTCTAGAAGCTTTGAGAGCAGATAGGTTTTCTGGACTCCTTGAATATCTTAATCCAAACCACAAAGAAGCTGCAACCACCATGGAAAATATAGTGAATGAGTATGCCTTTTTATTGCAGCAAAGCCCAACTAAGCGACTGATAAAAGAGAAACAAAATTTCATTTTGGCCAACATTATTCTCAGTTGTTTAAAACCCATTTCCAAGTCCATCCAACCACTTAAAGTACTAAAAAAACAGCTCCGAGAAGTCCTGCAACTTGTCGGACTTAATCATCAACATCCGGATCCTTATTTCTTGGCCTGCCTCCTATTCTGGCCAGAAAATCAAGAGCTAGATCAAGATTCCAAACTAATGGATAAGTATGTCTTATCCTTAAATAAATCCTTCCGGGGCCAGTACAAACGCATGTGCAGATCCAAGCAGGCAAGCACACTTTTCTATCTGGGGATCAGGAAGGGTCTCAACAGTCTTGTTCACAAGGCTGAGATAGAGGAATACATTAGTGAAGAAAAAAAAACAAATTCATTCTGGCAGAGTGGAGATGTGTGGAAAACAGAAGCAGTCAAAGGCCTCCTGCGTCGGCTAAGTGGTCAGGCTGAAGGCAAGCTGATCTCCCTAGAATATGGCACCAAGGAAAGAATAAAAATACCAGTGACATCTGTGTATTCACATCCACTCCAAGGAGGTAGAAACATAGAAAACATCTCTTTCTACCTAGGATTTTCCATTGAAGGGCCTCTGGCATATGATATAGAAGTAATTTGAGAAGTTAACAATCGGTGAAATATGTTTACTTCTATTTGTCTAGGATTATACTCCCTCTATCCTGTCATTTGCATGACATTATTGGCTTAGCTGTAACCACCAACTTCTTTTCATCTTTCTGAATGGACTACAAGTCTTTATAGTATACAAAATCTGTTCATATCACAGAGTGTGACACACTGTACAGTCAGTCATTTACTATTTCTAATGTGTATTTTAACATTAATTAACTAACAGTTAATTAAGAAGTTTCAATTTGTATCCAGCAGTCACACCTTCACTGCTTATAGGTCAATAAAATCTCTTTAAACTTCAATCACTTTTCTGAATTTTCCAAATTATTTCTTCACTGTGAAAGTGAAGTTTAACTAAGATGGCTATGAAAGAGAAAGCACATCTGGGAGCAATCTCAAAACAAGAGAACCAAGCCCCAGGTCCATTTATCCCTTCTAGTTATCAGTAAAAATATATGTGGAAGATAAATGCTCAGTTCTCCATTCTCCATTTAACTCCTCCCAAACACACACACACACACACACACACGCACACGCACACACACACACACACTTCATTGTACTTCTTACAACTCTCTCAACTTACTGCACTGGGAGAGGAAAGACAGCAAAAATCAAAGTAATCCCAAAATTGAACTCCCTCCATTCTCTTGCCCCATTTACAGGTGAAACTTTTCCTTTGATCATTCCTGTCTCCTATGAAAACAGCTTTATTTCCTCCAGGTTTTCAGATCCTGTGTTAGTTACATTCTTGTTGCTGGGAGGAAAAAACAAACCAATGCCCACGGGGCAAAGGAGGAAAGGTTTATTTTTGCTCACAGTTTGCAGAAGTTTCAGTCCATAGTCAGCTGGCTCCACAGCAGGGTGGCATGGCAGAGAGGCAGTACAGAGGAGACACAGTCCATGGCAGGAGGCAGCAAACAGTGAAGTCTGCCCTCTTTCTAGCCCTTGATATGCTACCCAGGTCACAAGCCTATTCGCTGATGCTACCCACACATAGGGCGGGGCTTCCCCCTTCCGTAAATCCATTCAGCCACACCCAGAACTATGCTAATCTAAATGGAGGACTAATCCAGATATCACACACCTTGACTCCATATTCACACACCCTAGATCCACCCACCTCTGAAAAGCCCCACCTACTTTAGGGGACTTCTAGATACAACTCATAATAGACCCCATCTTCCTCAACTTCTTTTTGCCATTTCTTTATGACTTTGTTCTCTGCCTAGTCTGCACTGGATAATTCTGTCCTTGAAATTTCCTTATTTTCATCCTTCTGTATATGGCTCTTCTTATTTGTCCTTCCCTGCCTAATTTAATAGTTTCCTCACGGTAGTTTGTGCTCTCCGCTTTCTGGTGCTAGCAGTGACATCCCAGATGCTGATTTCAAGACCTATAGCAGCTGTACCAGTCTCAAACAGCATTGTAGATCTTGGAAGTTAAGAGTTACCAGTTACCAGTTACTAGCAAAGCAAAACACATGTGATTCGCATATTTAAATAACAAATGTGCTTACTTCTTTACATATTTATATCTCCTCAAATGTAACTTAGACATTCTAGATTACAAGCCCAATTCTTCTTTTCATCCAGGAGTCTATTCCCTAACATGGATCTCATCACTAATATTTCTGTGAATCAGGGAGGTGGTCCATAAACACACCCCCATTTCTACATATATATACATATATAGTATATATATATTGGTACTGGGGATTGCACTAAGGCCCTTGTACTTGCAAGGAAGGCAGCAGAACCAGTGAGCCAAATCCCCAGCCCATACCCCAGTTTCTAAAAGCCACATTTTCTGCTGACCCTGATTCCAGACAGCTGCCTCCCTCTTCTAGAACCCACTTGTCCATCTGGTAAAGGAACTCTCCCAGGGGCTTCCAAAGTGTGCACAGACCTGTGCACATAGGTCTGTTCCTAAATTCCTCACAACCCAGCTGGTACAGTTAGAAACAAGCTGAGGAAGTCCCTTCCATCCATTTAATTTTAAACAGCAACCTACAGCCCTTCCTTCTTCCATTATCTTAAGAGAGGTAGAAAATCACATAACAAAAATCCAGTAAATCTGATGCTCTAGACAAGAGCATAACTTAGCTTGGGTAACTTAGCCTGCGCTTCAGTCACCTTCACCCTACACAAATCTTACTACAGGTTCATAAATGTGTACTACATGCTATGCATGTAATTAAGATTAGAGAAAATTCTGAGACAAGCATGCACCCTTGGAGCTTCTAAGATGACTCAGCACACTATCAATCATTCCTTTTCCCAGCTAGCTGCTAAAGTATGACCCTGACTTCAATCTCTGTTCACATTTAGAGTACAATAAACTTTTATTTTCCACAAAGCCACTTTCCAAATAGCCTCACACGTTATTTGTGACATCAGTGAAAGCTAAAGCCAGCTAAAGACATCTAACTGTTACACATACTAAAATGGCTTTTTGCTTTTAGGCAGTCATACATAAAAACCCACTTGCATAACCTCTGCAGCTCTCCTTAATGAAAGCCAATAATTATGTGAAGGAAGGAAGCTTAGTTCTACCAGAAAGTATGTCAGGCAAATACAATTTACTTTGGTAAAGTGGTGTGAATTACTGATGTAGGAAATAGGGTGTGGCAAATGTGGCTGAGAGAATAAGCAGGACCTGTCAATTACAAGATCCCAGGACAGTGCCAAATAATTCCCAGCACCACAAATGCCTAACCTCTTGGGCTCCCACAAGATGTGAACTTCATATAAGGATGCAGATCTAATCAGAGATTCTTTTTTTAATTTTTTTTTTTTTTTTTTTGGTACTGGGGATGGAACTCAGAACATTGCACTTTCCAGGCACCAATGAGCAACATTCCTGGCCGCTTAATCAGAGTTTCTCTATCCCTCCTTTGACATTTCACTTTGAAGGTCAAATATTTTACCACGGTTTTTTAATTGTCCCAGTGTCCTATGCCCTTGTTAGGAAGAGGATTATTACCAAAACTGGGAACAATTTTCAAATTCTGGTTAAGGTCAAGATGGATTTTACTTTCTGGGACTGCACCAAGTCTCCGCAAGTCAACAGAAAATCCTGCTGCATGGTATAAGGGAATACCTGGCAGGGCAATTTCAGCTATGCCAGTAATGGTAAAACTAAAAAAACTCAGCTGATTTCTTAATCAAAATCAGTATCCAATCAGGCCAAGGATTTAGCTCACCTGCCTTGCAAGTGCAAGGTCCTGAGTTTGACCCCTGGTATCAAAAAAAAAAAAAAAAAAAAAAAAAAAAAAAAAAGGATCTAATCATGGAAAGGACATATAAAGGCTTCCAGCCCCTCATAGACAGATTTCTCAAATACGACCTTCTGAAACCCTGTGCAGTGCTCCTGTTCTCCCTGTAACGAAGCCTGTGGGAGAATATACCTCTGCCTCATTATTCCAATCTACCCTCTGGTGGTAGATCTGTACCAAACTCCAGAGCATACTAATTGGGTCCCAGTCTGAGATTCATTCTTCTTCATTCTCCTGCATCCTGATTCTCAGTTTCTATGAAGTACATTTAATAAACTCAAACACATTATTACTTATAAATTTTAAAAATGAAAGAATGCATGAACTTATACATAGCAAATATCTTTAGTATTTTCTTAATAATGAATAATTTAGATGTTTTACTTATTAAAAATTACCTCTACATTGCCCACAGCATGTAAAACATCTAGCAAACACAAATTAATGTCCCAAAATTGTTGAGGAAAAACTTTCAAATATTGTAGTCAATACTTCAAAATTACAACTATATGCACTGCAACAGAATGCCATGTAAGATCTTTGAAGGATTTTCTTGGGCTTTTGAACTTGAATATTTACACTGATCCCAGTGAATTATTTTTGACCAAGTTTTCATGTCCCCAAAAGCAAATCATCCTGGAAAATAAGGGTGCCTATCAGTTAAGCCACTTGGAATACAACAAAAGGAAGTGTACTAATCATGGGCATTTAAAGTGCCGAAGCTCAGAAGTTCTAGACAGACCCAAGAACTCCAGGGAGAAATATGCATCCCATATCAGCGCCATCATTTATCCTGGCTTCTTTGTTCCAGAGTTGAGGAAGTTATTACTCATGTAAATGCGACCCAGCTTTTTTAGAAAATTAGGCAGAAGCACAGCATGGCTGGACAATATTATTTATACAGGAGTTAATGCGTAAGACAAAACTGTCTATTTTTTCACTTGGACTTAGTAAGAAAGCTCTCTAAGGGACTTTCAATATGCATACCATCTGATAAGCAGAAACCTATTAATTGCTCCCACTTTTCTATTGTAATAAGTCATGGGGGAGTCTTTATCTAACTAAACTTCTGCCCAGTAAGATAACCAAGTACAAGCTCCATAAACCACTTCTGTTTGAGAAACTAGCCCTGAGAACATGTTGGAAGGAAAACAATCATAAAACTGATGCAATCATGACAGAGAACACAATAGGGTTCAGAAATAGGCAGACCAGGGCCTTTACGTGCTACTCAGGAACTTAAAATCCAGTTTTGCTATAAACCATAATTCTTTTTACCAATTGTTACCAAATATTGCCTTTTAGGATCCTTTCTACTAACACTAGAAGCTGCCTTTATACTGACTATTACTACATAACATTTTCTGAGAGGTGCACACATAGGACATATCATAATGCACACATTTGTGGCCTAGTTAATCAGAGTTTGGATATCCTAAAATATTTTTTCTGCCTTAAGTTATAGGTCTTAGTTGATTTAAGAAAAAAACAAAAAACCTCTTGCCCTAGGTATTAAAATATTTTCCATTGAGCAAAATTTAGAAATGGCTGGTCAGAAGTTTTCACATCTTATCCTGGCTCTATTGCATGATGCCTCTAGCACACACACACACACACACACACACACACACACACACACAGGAAAAGAAAAGAAAAAGAAACTAATTTAAGAACAATACTTCCCAACAAGAACAAGAAAAAAAACATCTGAAATCAAATTTCTCCCTTTTTTTAAAAGTTAAAAGTTAAAGAATGGATGTGACTGGAGATGCAAATCGATCATCTGGGTAAAAAGGAAGAAGGACTTACTCAAAGCTAGCTCTGAGGAGACTGAGGGACCCATTTGCCCCAAATCGCCATCTCCCCATTTATCAGGTGGTCAAGGGTCCTTTACAGTAAGAAGCAGAGGTTTGGGAAGCTCATAGAGACAGCTCAGATCTTCACACTTCCTTTCCCACTTCAGTCCTCTTCAGCTTAT